TAGTTGTTACGAAAGGTGGGTACTTTAGACACCATATTTCGTTTCTAATTCTAAGGGGTCGTTTGGATGTGGAAATTTTAAAACGTTGAAATTTGTCTGAATTTCCATGTTGTATAAAACTAAAGAATTGACTTGTGGAAATTGAAAAAAAATTCACGTTTGGATAGGGTTTAGTTTTGTGTGAATTGATGGTGTGGAATTTGGAAATAGAAGTAAGAAAACGTGGTAATGTCAAATTACTAGGGGGAGGTGTAGTATTCTCAATTACCATGAATGTGGTAATTGAAGTCAATTTCCATGGTTCAATTTCCATATCATTTTTGCTCTCCCAAACATGGGTTTTTAACCCAATTACTGCGTTATGTGGTAATTGGATCCAATTACTGCATTACATTTCCACATCCAAACGACCCTAAGTGTTCAATTTCAAATCTGCCCTTCTCACTTCTTCTCAAATAGGAATTGGATCTTTTTTTTTTTTGTCATAGAAACCCTTGCGGATTAACTAGATAAGCACGAGATAGCCACAAAATAACGGCTTCTTCGTGAGAAGATAGTCAAAGGAGGAATGAACAGTCAAAACAAACACTACTAGTGCCAGAGTAGCATAAGGCATTACGTGCCACAACATGGGCAGCCCTATTCGCTTCTCTAGGAGTAAAAACAACAGAAACCAGCGGCATTTCCTGTAACATTAAGATGACTTCTCGTAAGATAGCTCCCGCAAGAGCATCGTTGGCATCAGAAACCGTCAAATGGTGAACAACAGCAAGAGCATCACTTGTGATCACGACCGGTCGATCCTGCCACTGCCATTGACGAAGTAATAAAAGCGCTTCTCGAATTGCCAACACCTCCATAATCTTGGGATGAAAAAGACCAGGGAAGAAACCACCCCTTGCAAAAACTGGCACAAGATGATCAAACCCAACCATACCGATGGCGCCATGAGTCGGAGCCCTGGTAGCCCCATCAACAGCAATGCGGAAACTAGATTGAAGCAATGGACGAGAATGTGGCTGGGGTCTGGGCTGTAACGGTGGCGACTGACAGGGAATGACGGCAATTTGATGAGAGGCATGATGTGAGAGGAATTGACGGTACAAGGCAGCAGTGGTAAATTGCGCATAGGGTGTGAAGACAACATTGTTCCGCCCTTTCCATAGTCGCCAAAAAAAGAGAACCCAATTGCTTATGGTAGAATGATCGAAATTGAGAATAATGTGCCTTAAAAAGATGGATAAATGAGTGTTTGGAAAAATTCCCGGAGGCAGCTGTAGGCCACACCGATGGCGGAGGCCAAGTGCCACACGACACGAAAGGAATAAATGCTCCAGTGACTCCCCCTCTTCTGAACCACAAATAGGGCATAAATTTTCCACCTGCACACCATGCCGAGCAAGATCCTCTCTAACCGGTAGGATTCTTAATAAAATCCTCCATAGGAAAAATTTCAATTTGGGCGCCAGAGGAAGACCCCAAAGTCGAGGCCATAAATTAGGATCAAGTGGAGAAACCTGGTCCACTGAACCCTGAGTCCGGGCAACTGGACACAATGTAGTCGCTAACCGATAAGCCGACTTTACCGTAAACAAGCCATGAGGATCAAAATGCCAAATCAACTTATCCGGGCACATTAGACGTGGCAAAGGAATGCGAATGATGCATGTAATGGAATCCTGCGTAAAGAACTCTCCAAGACGTTGAAGATCCCAAGAGTGATGAATGGGAGAAATGAAATAAGAGAGGAAACGAGGTGTCCGATCAGCAGCGGGCAAGACCATTGGACGAAAACCTGGGATTGAAGGAACCCAAGGATCCGACAACGCATCAATGGAAGAACCATCTCCTACTTCCCAACGCACACCACGATGTAACAATGCCCGGCCATGAAGAAGTGATTGCCAAGCCCAAGAGGAGTTAGAACCCACACCAGCATTCAAGAAACTCGTTTGATGAAAATACCTTCCTTTCAAGACCCGCGCAACTAGGGAAGTGGGATCCGTCAAAATGCGCCAACATTGTTTGGCAAGCAGTGCTTGATTAAAAGCCTCAAAATCCCGGAAGCCCAATCCACCATCCCCTTTTGGTTTACAAAGATGCCTCCAAGAGACCCAAGGCAGACGCCGCTCCGTCCCTTGTTGACCCCACCAAAACCGAGCAATCATACGGTTTAAATTCCGACAGAGCTCCTTTGGAAGGCGAAAACACGACATAGCATAAACAGGAAGAGCCGACACGACTGATTTAATCAGTACTTCCAAACCTGCTGGTGATAAACAACGGCGTTTCCAACCTTAAAGACGTTTAGCCACCGCTTCCTCAATGAAACGAAACGTATCCCGCTTTGAACGACGGATCAGGGAAGGTAATCCAAGGTAGCGATCACGAACCCCAACTGCACCAATTCGCATGGTGGTCCCAAAAAGCGTCGCCTCCTGCGTTGTGGTATTTTTAGAGAACACCACTGCTGATTTTGCTAAATTGACCCGCTGGCCACTCATCCGTTCATATCGATGAAGCAGATCCAATAATCGTTGACAGTCAATCGGAGAAATCCGAAGAAAAAGATAAGCATCATCCGCAAAAAATAAATGCGAGAGCACCGGACAATGATTATTGAGACGAATCCCCTTTAGCTCTGAGCGAGTAATGGATTGCAATATCAAAGCTGAAAAACCTTCCGTGCAAATTGCGAAAAGCAATGGTGAAAGCGGATCCCCTTGACGTAAACCACGAGATGGCCGAAAATACCCGTAAGAGGCACCATTGAGTAGGACCGAACTGGAGGTCGTGGAGAGACAATTGTGGAGAAGCGCAATCACTCGTGGAGCAAAACCCAATCTTTCCCTTTGATCTCCGGCATCACCACATAGAAGAAAAACGTCCCAACCAGTCAACCACCATTATCCAAATGTTTTCTTCGTCGAAACGGTCAGAAACGTCATCAAAACAACTCGGTTCACCGATATCGCCAGTCTCGATCCCTGGGCCCACAGCCTTGATGGGAAGATTTCAGATGAGTAGATCCATATGATGGGCCCAAGCCCAATTTACAAGAACGAGACAAACCCGCAGACGACGACTAATCACATCGTGCGGCCCATAATAGCTTGCTGTCGCAGTGCTGAAGGATCTTCCAGCCCTGGCCCAGTACGAATAGCCAAAGTTACGTATTATTCCGTTTTATCAAACATGTCTCTTTACTATTTTGTACATCTTACATGTTCATGTATTTTGGAAAAATGATCAAACATGCCCTTATATTAAAATTTCATTGATAAAACCATCCAACATGGTTGAATCGAGATTTAGACGACCCAGCATAGCCAAATAGGAGGAAAATTTTCATTTTTGTCCCTGATTTATTTCTCTGTGTCTCGTTGAGCCCGGAATATTCTAAAGTAAAATTATTATGGAAATTTAAAACATTTGTACCATAGTAGACGGTTTTTTAATGAAAATTTTAACAGAATGACATGTTTGATCATTTGTCCAAAGTACAAAGACATGTTTGATGTAAAAATAGTAAAAGAGCATGTTTGATAAAACACCATAGTAGAGGGTCACATCTAGGGATGACAACAAAACCCGAATCCACGGGTACCCTACCCGACCCAACCCGGTCAACGCGGGTAAAACCCGTCTTGACGGGTTTCAGGCCGGGTTTGGGTTTAATCCCGGTATACTTTCACCGGGTTGGGTTTGGGTTTAGGGATACCCGACCCGTGGATACCCGTCCACACTTATTCCGTTGCCCTACTCTTCCCAAATTCTACCCTAATTCTAATTTTCCCTAATCTAACTCTCCCCAAACCCTACCCTAAATTTATTTCTTACCAAGGTAATGTTTCCATTTTTCCCCAAAAGAAGTGGGAGGGATAAATTAATAATTAAAGTTGACACACCATGTTTGTTGGTTCACAAAAAAAAAAAAAAAAGGGGAATGGCGAAAAACAAAGAATTGTGTGCTTTTATTTAGTGTAATTGTGATTTGTTTGAATTTTCTAGACTAGTGTTTTATGTATGGATAATTTGCATGGGAAAATTTATGTTTGACTTTATTTTTATAGAAACTTGTTATTATAAATATTTTACCACAAAAATTCACGGGTACCCATGAACCCGCGGATACCCAATGGGTTGGGTTTAAGTTTTTCAAACCCAATAGATTTTACCCTGAATTTTTTTTACGAATAAACCCATAGGTTTAGGTTTGGGTTTGGCAAAACCCGACCCAACCCATTATCATCCCTAATCACATCAATGACATCATGCCTATAACCCTTACATTTTCTAGCCAAAATGTGTGAATTCGTAGCCAAAATGGCTTAGTTACCACTTACCACCAGCCAAATAGTCCTTTCTAAGTTAAGTGTACTTACAAGTTACAAGATACCAGATTGAAAAATCGTATAATGCCACAGTTCGACGACAAAAATTTCCTACCATAAGTGAAATTGGTAGGTGATCTTTAATGGTTTGAAAAAATTGTATTCCGGTTTCAATATAAAATATTCTACTGCTAACTTTTTCGGTATAACATGTAACACAATTGTAACACAATTGTTTTTTCAACCCTTTCTTAGAACATGTAACACAATTGTAAGCTGTGTAAAGCACAAAATTGTTAGAGAATGGTATATGATCCACGATTGAATCTCTCCCAATAACTCGAGTTATTAGGACCAACTGGTTTATGACATGGTATCAGAGCCTAGAACCAAAAGGTCATGTGTTCGAATCTCCACGACCCCCAATATTAACCGTTGTCTTTCAAGCACATGGTATGGTGGGCCTGTGCAAACTTCAAGCCCATGGGTTGGCTTTCGTTTGAGGGGGCGTGTTAGAGAATGGTATATGATCCACGATTGAATCTCTCCCAATAACTCGAGTTATTAGGACCAACTGGTTTATGACAAAAATGTCCCACAAAATATTAAAAAAAAAATTGCCGGAGAATTTGGTGCCTTGCCTCTATAAGTACAAACGACTGGAAATCAAGAAACAATGAGCCTTCGATGCTCATCGTCCTGATCCTCAAACAGAACCCCGATCTCCTCCAACGTCTTCCCTTTCGTCTCCGGCAAGTAACAATAGAAGAAAGTCGTCGCCATTACCATTACCCCCGACAACCCCAAAAACATCCAGCCAAAAGACACCGTTTCCGAAGCGCTCAGAAACGTCATCGCCACCACTCCGCTCACCAGCCTGTTAACGGAGATCGCCAAACTGGAACCTTGCGCACGCAACCTCGTCGGGAAAATCTCCGACGAGTAAACCCAAGTAATCGGCCCAAGCCCAATCGAAAAAAACGACACGTCAGCACAGACCGTAACAACACAGAACACAACAGCCCAAATGGGCTTTTCATCCTCGCACCAGTCCAGATACTTCGAGCCCAGGCCCAATAAAGCCAGCGAAACTGCCATCCCGGACGAACCGAGCAGCAGAAGCGGTCGCCTCCCAAACCGGTCAAGAAACAGAGCCGAAACCAAGGCGAAAGAAGATTTAGCTATTCCCATTATCACCGTGACTCCAAATAGTTGTTTCCTGCTTGAAATTCCGGCGACCTTGAACACCTCCGGGCTGTAATAAACCACCGCGTCGTTGCCGGAAGCCTGCATGAAGAAATTGACCCCGACCGCCGTGATCACGATTCGTCGAATCGCCTTCGACCGAACCGAGACCAGCTCGGTCCAAAACCCACTGGAAGGCGGCAATTCCGCCATCGAAATTGCCTTCACCATTTCGTTCATCCTCGAGTCGACCAATTCGACCTCTTCCTCCGAGGAGGAGGTTCTGATCAGGACGCGTTTCGCCTCGGCGAAACGGCCCTTCATGACGAGCCAGTGGGGCGATTCGGGCATGAAAACGACGGCGAATCCGACCAGGAGAGCGGGGAATGCGGCCAATCCGAGCATTACTCGCCAATTGAGGCTCGACGGGAGGCCGCTGCCTGCAAGGAAGTAATTCGAGATGTAGCCGAGGAGGATTCCGACGTTGATGAAGACTTCTGGGAGGGAGGAGAGGAAACCGCGGGTGGAGGCAGGGGAGAGCTCCGACGAGTAGACCGGAGCGATCATTAGGGAGAATCCGACACCGATTCCGGCGACGACCCTGCCGGCGATGAGATACGGGAAGGAAGGGGCGAGTCCCATTAGGATAGCGCCCAGGAAGAATGTGGCTGCTGCGAGGAGTATGGTGTAACGCCGGCCGATTTGGTCGGAGGTTTTCCCGGCGGCTAAGGAGCCGATTAGCGAGCATACGTTGAGGCAGCCAACGAGGATTTCTTCTTGGGTCGATGTGATTTGGAGGTCTTCCTTGACGTATAGCGCCGCGCCGCTCATTACTCCAATATCTAAAATATCATGACAAGCAATGTAGTCAAAATCGCAGTTTAAAATGTAAAATTGTACGTTTTTATTATTCTAGGTCATCAAAATGGTTCTACCTCAAATAACACTTTTTAATTTTTACTTACAATTATAATCAAATCTAAAGTTTAAAAGCTTATAATTTTATGTTTTAGATTACCAAAACACTTCAATATAGATTATCAAGTACACTCTCAATCAATTAGGCTATGAAAATTGGGCCGAACCCCAAATTGGTTAGTCCAACGCTCCAATTGATTAGCCGGAGCAACCCTGACCTGAAAACAGGGGGAAACAGGGGAACTCACCGTAGCCCAGGAGGACGGAGTTTGTGGAGGCGAGAATAGCTCCGGCGAGAGCGTAGCCGTTAACGGTCGACTTCAGCCCACCGTATGAAGAACCTCCATTATTGTAGTCACCGACCCGTTTGAGGGAATTTCGGAAAGAAGATTCAGAATCAGGGCGGCGGCGGTAACAGTCACAGCCGCCGCCGGCGTCTGAATCCGGAGAAGGAGCAGTGCCGTTGATTTGCATGTCCTTGTCTTCTGAATCAAAAGACTGGAGCTTTCACGAAAAGGGTTGAAGAAAAAAAAACAATTTTGGGAGGAGAAGTGAGATTTGACCAAACGCATGACAGGAGTATATCGTCCTGTGGTTGAATTGGAATGGAATAATATCTGTTGTTCTTCCTCGACATGGAAACAGAATCGAGCTCCGTACTTTATAATCAAGTGTCAAGATTTTGGTGCCAAAAAAAGGATGGTAATTGTTCATGATGAATTTCCTGGTTTGGTACTTCTTTATGGGATTTGCCATTTTCCACGTTCATTTCATGTACTATACTTAAGAACTTGGGTACTAATTAAGTATGTGCTAATATGTGCTTACACAATGTCATCGTGTGCGCTGATGATTAAAGTTTTCGAGTGCAAGCATTGAAGATATTTATGTATGCTATATCATGAGTATTTACTGACGCCTATCGTATTAATAGTGTACTCGAATGGTTAAATAAGACCAACCCACGAAACATGTCAACATACTTCGATTTATGTGAGCTGTTCACACATCTTATTTGGATGTAGTTCATCGAATTTTACGCTATACTTGAAAGGTACTTCACAAGTTGGTCTTTATTTCTCATATTCTCATAGTATGTGTCTTTTAGTCTATGCAAATGACGAGTAGGTCGTGTATCTTGACACTCGAAAGTCTAGTTCTAGGTGGTGTCCGAAGTTTGGACATGCGATCATTTTTTGACGATGTAAGAAGCAAGATCATGTGGATAGAACGTCTACAAAAGTCAAGTATAGTATGTGAAACTAGTTCTGAATTGGTATGGTTGCATTTGCATCGTTTGGTTGAGGAGTTGGGCATTCTAAGTGAAGTTCAAGTACTTTCCTATGCAGATAATATGGGTAAATGACACATTTGGTCACTGAGATTACTAAATCGTGTCATATTTAGTCACTAGAAAAATTTAATATCAATTTTGGTCACTCGAATTACTGACACATGTCACATTTTGTCACTCTTCTGTAGCCTCTGTCCAACTCCGGTCACTCGAATTATTGAAAAATGTCACATTTAGTCACTCGTATTACTGAAACATGTCACATTTAGTCACTCTCCCAAAAGTTTCCGTCCAACTACATTAATGGAGTTGGACGGAAACTGACGGGAGAGTGACTAAATTTGACCAGTTTCGGTAATTCGAGTGACCAAAATTGATATTAATTTTTTCTAGTGACTAAACATGACACAATTTAATAATCTCAGTGACCAAATGTGTCATTTAACCCAGATAATATTAGTGCAATTCATATTGCTAGTTTGCTACTAATCATGTGTTGCATTAGGGCGACGCGGCATGTCCAGATAAATGGTTATCGTTACAATGTGTTAAAATGAAAATTTAGAGGTTGTTGAAATATGTAAATTCTTCTTATTAAAGAACAAGTAGCATGTTACTATTACTTAGAGTCACATCATGCAAATGATTAGTTTGTGGGCCTTTTTGTTATTGGTTTTAGTATGTTAGTGTGTTTTTGTTTTCTATGATTGTTTGGTTCGTTTACTAGCGCGTTTGTTGCGTTGTGTCTGTTGCTCGGCTTCGGTTTTTTTTTTTTTGTGTGTTTTAAACGCAACATGTTCGGGACCGCTTTATAATTGTCGTTACCGATTTCTTTGTTGCTTTTCTGCCTTTTGCCTTGCTTCGATTTCCCAGCGAAAACGTACCTTTTGCTCGACTTCGCTTTTTGTGTTGTAAGCGCAACATGCATGAATTTATCTTTTTGTTTTATTTTGTTTCCTATGACCGTTTGATTCGTTTGCTTCCGCGTTTGTTGCGTTTTGTGCCTGTTGTCCAACCTCGCTTTTTTGTTGTAAACGCAAGGCGCAAAAGATTATTGTGTTCGTACCGGTTTACAATTGTCGGTACCGATTTCTTTGTTGCTTTTCTACCTTTAGCCTTACTTCAATTTTCCTACGAAAACGTTCCTTTTACTCGACTTCGCTTTTTGTGTTGTGAGCGCGGTATGCATAAGATTATTATGTTCAAGACCGCTTTACAGTTGTCGTTACCGATTTCTTTGTTGCTTTCCTACCTTTTGCCTTGCTTCGATTTTCGTACGAGATCGCTTTGTTAAATACTTTTGCTTGACCAAGTAAGATGTGCACTATTACTTATAGTCACATCAACAATGATTTTTTTGTTGTTTACTTTTTACTTTTTATTAATAAATCCATTAATCTTATGTTTTAATTATTTCTTTTCATTATAATTGTACCTAAATTCATGTGTACTCGATCTAATTCGATTCGTTTCGGTGTAGCCGAACTTTTGGTCGGCAACAAATTTTATCAACTTTTATAAATAACGAATTGGGTCGTGTGTGCCTTTTGTTAAGAACTATATTCAAGCTAATTCAACCCGGTCCCGGTGTTGCCGAATGTTGGGTCGGGAACAAATTTTATCCGCTTTTGATGGGTCGGGTGTGCATTTTGTAAAAAATCTCGCCCCGCTTTATCAAGCCGGTCAAAACGAGTTGAATCCAGTGTTAAATTTTTTTGGGTCGGGACGAGTTTTACCCACTTTTGTAATTGACGGGTTGAGTGGGTGTGGTTTTTTTGTTGAAAACCCGGTGCGGTTTGACAAGCCAGTCAAAGCGAGTTGAATCCAGTGTTGATGAATTTAGGGTCGGGAACGGGTTTTACCCGCTTCTGTAATTGTCGGGTTCGGTCATGTGTGGATTTTTTGTTAAAAACTCGAATCGCTTTATCAAGCCAGTAAAAGCGAGTTGAATCCAGTGTTTCAAAATTTTGGATGAGGGACGAGTTTTATCGATTTTACAAACCCTTTTATGACATTGAACCCAAATCCAAATAAGTGTTGACAAATTTTGGCTTAACGCCGAGTTTTTGCACGTTTAAATCATTGGATCGTAGAGGAGCTTTTCTCAATTAAGCTTCTAATTTACCCAAATTAACGGTATTAGACCTGGTTAAAGCGAATTGAACTCGATTTTTTTTCAAATTTTGGGTTGACAACGCGTTGTACACCCTTAAATCGATCTATTTCGACCCGATTAATGCGAGTTGAGTTCGGTAGAGTGATTAATTTGCACAAACAGCCGATCTCTGTTCAGGCATACTACTTTTACTGTTTATCCAGACACGATTTACTATTTATAGACCTGTGATTGGTTGATGCACTGTGGTGGGCCTGCTTTGCCACGTTTCTGCAGCAGCTTCGGCCTTCTCTCTTACTCCTTTCATCTGCCACGGAAATCGCGCCGGTCTCAAGTGTATGGCCCAAGAAAAAAAAAAAGAGATGCAGAGATATTTTTAGTGGGTTATTGGTGGATCTAAAGGCCACGTTGGTGTTTTGTTTTGGTCCACTTATTTCACCTACCAGTGCTTGCTTTACCCTTTCTAGAAACTGAAACAAACCCAGCGATGTTCTCTCTCCTTCACTCCCTCTCTCTCTTTCACTCACACTCCTTCTCCAACTCCCTTCTCTCTAAGCTATGGCTTCGAGCAGAAACCTCAGTCTCACCTCATCTCTTCCTCTCTCTCTCTCTCTCTCTCTCTCTGTCTCTCTCATCTCAGACCCGGGGTAGGGAAACGCCGACCAGAGAATCGTTCGATGACCTGCGGCGACGAAGAGAAGATTCGAAGATTCAGTAGCTTGGAGCGGTCACCGGAGAGGGTGAACTTGAGCGGCCGAAAGGTGAATCTCAGGTCTCTTTCTCATTAATCGAATGTGATCTTGCAGGTTTTGTGTGTTTTTCAACAACCTTCTCTGTGTTTGGATTTTAGGTTTGTTATCTAGGATTCAGGACCGTGGTTGGGAGAAGAGGTGAGGAAAGCCAACTTTCATATGAGGATTCCGCAAGAGAGGGGAACTAGAGAAGGGTGAGATCCCTATATTTTGTTAGTTCTTCTCTTCTCTAAACTCTCCCCTCCAGGTTCGCTCTTATTTAATTATACACTCTCTCGACTTTTCACTTTCCCTCTTTGGTTTTTTTACTTTTCTGGTTGAGATAAAACTCGCGTCAGTCTTGAGGGGAGAGGACTCTCGGAGTAATCAGGAGTTGGTTAGCGTCTCTTCAGCTCTTTCCACTCTTTTTCTTAGCTCTTTCCACTCTGTTCGTTCTTCTTTAAATTGCCTAATTTGGAGGGCGAGAGAAATTGGAGGATACACAGACTCGCAAGGTGGGTTTCTCATGGTTTTTTTCTTTTTGCTAGACAGATTCGTTCTCCATCACTCTCAACCTATGCATTATTAGAAGATACCAGCACCGAGTTCATAAGACCCAGAGATGGTCATCAATTCCAGGTAAAAGCTACCAATCTGAAGATCTGTGGTTTGGGTTATAAATCCATGTTGAAGAGGGTCCATAGGGGAGAACGAGATTGGCGACGGAAGGAAACCAGATTTGCTTGCCCTGACGTTTGAAGGTGATAAGTCGATATTGATGGTTTTGCTTCATCTCTCTCATTTGTTATGATTAGATGCATCTTCTTGATTATGTTCTCTGGTTTCTGTTGCCCAAACGGTTCCTCACGAAGGAGTCTCGGTTGTGAGGACCCCTCTCCGACGAAGCGGAAATCCCAAGATGGTGTGTGGCCGATTCTCAAGCCAGAGCATGCTGATTCTCTTGCCCTTAGAGTTGATGGGATTTTCTACACCTGAGTTGATCGTGGAATCTCAGCGAAATGCTGCTGGACCATTAGATGTCTGCCTTGCAAAACCTTCCCACCCTTCGTCGTGAACTCAGGTCCCTCTCTCCCCCACCCTCCTTCTCCTTTCCCCTGCCATTTTTTCCTTTTTTTTTCTGCGGTTACTGAATGGCAATTTCTTGGCTTTTTCCTCCCATCCCCCAATCATATATGAGTTGGGTTTCAGGTTTTGATTGATTGTTGGGTTTGAGAGATTGACGGTCGGGTTGGGGGAGAAGCAGGTTCGATGTTTTGGGTTTCCGTTTTTAGGTTATTGTTTTTCTGATTTTTCTTGAATGTGATCATGCTCTCTTTTCCTGTTTCAGAAGAGCACGTCTGGTCTTGGAGATTTTATAATCGAATTCGCTGATGGGGATTTGGGAGGTAAGACACCGTCCGCAACATCGTCGTAATCATGTCCTCTTGAGACAATGGCTAGGCATAGGCGAAGGTAATTTTGTATGTCTCTTTTCCTTCTCTTTTTTTCCCTTCTCCCCCTGGTAATGCTTTCCTTTGGATTAACCTAAAACTGGAGTACCTGTACTATGACTTCTGGGGAGGACAGTTGATTGGGAGCAGCAACTCCAGAAAGCATATATGTGCTTTTGAAGTAGGTCCAGGTTAGCCACTGTTCTCTGTGAATTTTGCAGTTTTGCTATGACGGAAGTGATCTTTATTTTGCTCCACCTTAGAACCTAATATTTTCATGAATCTGAGTATTTTTACGGTTTATGAATGTTGCTGTGCAATAATATATTGCTTGCTTTCTAAGTGTTTTTGAGAAGGTAGTGCCACTAACAGTTCTACATTCTTAGCAAAGTTAATAAGAAAATTAAATGCTCATGTTATATAAAGGTTGAGGACTGGACAAAATTGAACCATCACACATAATGTCGTGATCAGCATTTTGTGTGCAGTTGCCTTTACATTGCAGATTTGTCCCCTTTGTTGGTAATTATGTCCCTTAAGGGGTTGTTCCCCCCTTATATGACTATACTAACTAGACTACTCTACTTGACAGCAGTATCGCTTATTCTTCTTCATTTAACATCACATTCCTCATATCTCAATGAAGTGGAGACTATTGGAGCTACCTATTGCATGTAAGTACTGATACAAGTGTTGCCAATAATGCAATTATCTACATGTTAAATTAGTATTCGATTTTGGTTGTGTTGCCCTTTTCTTTGTGTGGTTTATTTTTGCCACTAAGACGAATAATGAAAAAAGTGATTGGCAAAAACCATTTCAAGATATGACAGAATGAACATGGTGTATCAGCATGTTGCCATTTTGTTGTGTGTTGAATTTGTAACCTTAGAGAGATGGTGATCAAGAACAGCTTATCAGGATGCCAAGGCTAGACTTGACACTATTCTCATGAACTCTAAATTTACACGTTCATAATAATTGCTATTTCCCATTAAAAATCTTGTATATGTTTTTTTTTTGTTTTTTTGCTCGACCCCTACAGTCCACTGCCATTTTCATTCTGTTTGAATTTCGGTGAGGTTGATTATGCTTTCTTAAGCTGCTCAGTGAACACTGATGAACTACGTAAACCCCAAAGTATTTTCTTTTTTTAAGCTTTTACAGACATAATTCAAAGTATTGAACGTACATTTTTGTCACTGTCGTTCTAATTTTGAGACCTACTGAACTTGGTTCCATGAGATTAGAATACTTGGTTATTAGTGGGACAATAAGACTTCCCACTTATGGATCCGTTTTTAGAGTTGATGGTAATGAATTTAGAATTTATTTTCCTTGATCTCGGCAGAGTAAGCTTCTGCTGCCTTAGTATTAACCTGACATAATCATTAAAAAGAATATCTGTAAATCAACCTTTTATATGCTTTATAAATGTTGTAATTGTTAGGAATAATTTCATTTGTTTCCATCAGCTGAATGATTTCGAGTTGGTTGACAGGCTCTATGAATTTTCGGAACATCAGATGCCTGGATGATGTGTTGTTGCATCCACGGTGTTGGGTAGGTTGCTGTAATTCTTGCTTTGTCGCCTCTTTGTGCTCTCACTTGAATTCAGTTTTCTATTATTTTCTTTGCACTCACAAACATTGTTGTGTTTTACTTTCGTCGACGAAACTCTGTTCTTTGCCTGCTAATGTGTATCACTTTCTGCCTTTGTCGCCTCTCTATGCTCTTGATTATCGCTATGTTTAAAATTCTTGCTTCTATGTTGCGACTCAGTGACCTCGACGTTGCAGAGGAGAATCATGACTAGGAATGCTTGCAATCTCTCCTGTTTTGCCTCTCTTTCCAGGAAAGATGTCCTTTTTTATTCCTGGTACCTAGATTTTGGGTTAAGGAACTATGAGGCTATTAATTTGTTAAGCGTTGTTGGTTCTTAAATTCATTATTAGGTTTCTAATAATAGCCGTAAATTTGTAATACTTAGAATTACTTTAGATTTTCATGGATTGGTTGCTGACAATGCTTGGGATATGATCTTTTAATGGTATTATATACTTTCAAATATTATTCCGTCCTTGTGTGAAATTTTGTTTGAATTGGCCTTGGTCTGTGACAAGTTATATATTGATTGGAGGTGAGGATTCATGTCTAGGTCATGCCCTCGCTGTTAACTTAGAGTTGCCTGTATTGTCCTTTTGAATTGATAGTGTTCTGATGTTTGTCATTGGAATTTCATTTTAGTAGCTTTTAGATGGCTTAAATTTTGTTTGGTTTGCAATCTTAGTATAAGAAGACAATATCAAATGGATTAAATTACAGGTTAAGTAGGTTGCGGTTACCATAACTTTATAAACTTAGTAATCCCGCTGCATTTGATGATTTGGAAATTGTGATTTTCTACAATCACTTCAGGATTGTGATTTGCTTGTCTTCTTAGCGGTAGTGTGCAAGTTAGTAGAGCAGTACAAACAAAAGATGGAGGATTGTGATTTTCTCATTTTAATCACTTTATTTCCTTTTGTTACTCTTTTGTTGTAGGCAAAAGTGAAGCTAGAGCTTCCGACGGTGTCTTGGTGTTATGAATGGGATGGGAGCACTGCAGAAGCTATTCGATTCGATCTGCTTCCCTGTTTTCAATTTAGGTTTGGCCTGATTTGGGGTTTACCCTCTACTAGCTTTCCGTGCTTTCAGATAGGCTCACTCTGCTTAAGTTTCCCTTTTGTTTTTGTTGTGGTGGTGTTGGTGTCAGGTGAGGTCCCATAACGAGACATTTTTATTGTTATATAAGTTTTCCTGCTTTCTTTATTAAGTTCAGAGTTTTTGCACCTCTTTCTCTTTTTACATTGGGTTATTCATTAATATCTTTGCTTGGGTATTTATATGGTCTTAAAATGAGAATTAAAAAAATGCATAAGAGGGTGTTATATGCTTTTGTTACCGACTCATCTCGATTGTCACTTGCAGGATGCAACCAGCCATACAGAGAGGCCGAGATGAAATGAAGAATTCTGATGTAGTCACAACTGTGGGTTTGTTGTTCAGGTACCATTAATTACTGTGTAGTTCTATTATGTACATTTTGAGTTGCTTTTTTGTAAAACCTATTGAAAAAACAAATTTCAATGGATTTCTAACTTTGGCACCTGCCAATCTATTCACCTTCAGCTTTTAGTTGTGCCCTTCTTAATTAGTCAGTGGCTGGAATGGTTCTTCCTATTTATATGGCAATGTAATTATATTGCAAACTTTCCACCTGCCATGCTATGTTCTGGATTGGTGTTGATTCATGAAAATAGCCTAGGATCGGTTTAGCTACCTCAATGATGTTACATGGCTGCTGCATTTGTAATTGTTTTGAGTAAAGATTGGATTTTTCTGGTTGTGGAAATGATCGTTGGATGCTTTGATAGAAATATTTGTTTGATATTACTTGATGAGAGAAATATGGAACTTTGATATTAAAGTAAAAAAGGATTGATGACTAAGTTGCAATTAATACATAATTAGAGGACCCTTGGAGTTTACAATTTTATGGAATGTGGGTTATAAGTGTGTGATGAGCTCTTAAAGGGTGTAGAGCCAGAGTTTCGGCCAAGTTTATCCATTGTTTGACCATCAGTTGTAAATCACATGCTTGCTAGCTTCAATGAGAAACATTGTTCAGAATCAAGCCATCAGGATCCATCATAGGCAAATGCAAGAGCCCTTTCTCATCCTCGACAGTTAGTTGCTTCCTTTAGTATGGTATAAATAATCAACAACAAGAACATAATTTCCCGTTTATGCTCTTTACTGTTATATGCTCTTTCAGTCTTTCTCCGCATTTGAAAATGGGAGAAGTCTTTGTTCTTGATGAAGTTTTGTATTTCCTTTCTTAAATATGGTTTATTTGCTGAGGTGAAATATTTTTTTTATTTTGAACCTTATTTTTCTTCATGAGCCTATTATTTAAATTTTGCCAACCTGATGAAGAAACTCATATGTTGATCTTTACTTTTATCGAATGCAAACCATATATTTCTTTTCGGTGACTTCTTTTTTGTCAATTTGTTTTTTCTTTTCGGTTTTGGTATGCTTGGATTTTTCATTCGTTGGGTTCTGCAATCTAATCAGATCTTCTTTTTGGGTTTTCAAGTTCGGTCAAGAGTTAGGATAAGGGAGGAACGTTCACGAGTGTAGATTACTGAATGCAGCAGAGGGGATGAGGGCTAGCCACTGGTCTCTGGGTAAGCTTCTTTTTGGATTTTGGTTCTGGGTCTTGCTTTCCTTGATCCAGTTTTGATATGTTTTTGTCTTCAATTTGATTTTAGCAAAGGGAAGAAGAAAAAAAAGTCGTTATAGGTTGTCCCGACGCTTGTCAGCAACGACAACACCAACGTAGCTGGCTGGCAAAGGTAGGAAATGTTCTAGGTGGCTTTTTAATTTTATTTCCTTTTAGTTTTTAATCATCTTATGTGTTTTGATATCTTGCTCTTGCTTAATGTTCTTGCTGAGTGTCATCAGATTTATGGTTGTTCAATTTTGTCTTGCTTTGCTTTAGAGTTTACCTATTGATCTCATTCTGGACTTTTAGGGTGCAATTTTGTCCAATCTTTTGCTCAATGTGCCTGGTATTTGTTTAAGCTACTGTTCATTGATGATATCTTCTTTTGCAGTCGATTAGTAGTATGAATTAGATGGTGCTTCTCTTTCAATTGAGTTTGGATTTAAGAAGCAATTGACTGGTGAGGATGCTTTGACGCAGGCATTGGCCACCATGACTAACTTATAGCAGTGACTATATTACTGGAGGAATACTCAACATCTTGATCAAGCTGTGACAAGTAATCCTTCAGGGATGATAGTCATTTGTGCATAATCTGAAAGGAGTTTCTTTCTTTCACCAATAGTGGTATGAGGAGAAGCCTCACACAACTGTTATCATTTCAGACTCTAAAGTGAAGATCCTACCTAGAAGGTCAAAATCTAGAGGCGTGGATAGTTCACAACACTTCCAAAGAGATTTCAAGCTTCATGCTGAGGTAACCGACAATTCTTGGTCGCAATCTCAATACAAAATTTACTGCAATTAGTAGATTTAATCGATCTATAGATGTACCATCTTTGGGTTGCTTTTTAATTAATAAAAGGTGTAGGATTACATTTAGATAGTGGTGGAAGGCTGATTGTTACATCTTTACTGCCAATGAACTTGCAAATCATAACATTGGTATGGTGTGAGCTTTATGTATAGAGCAAATCTTGAATTGTTTGACATATGAGATTTTGCTGTAAACATTACGTTCTTTTACCCCTTTGCACATTCAACCTAGATCCTTTTTCCTGTGTCTATGCTTTGACTGTTTAATTGCTCAGTGATTCGCAGGTTTAGCTTACTCAGTTTGGGTGCTTACCTTCTAAACAACACATTTCGAAAGTCTTCACCCACTGGTTCCAGCTTAATCCTTTTTTTACAAGGTACTTCCGTGCAATGTTGTTTAGATATGATTGAATTCATTTTGAAACTTCTTAGCATTGAGGTTTTGATTGCTTTTCAAACAGATAAGCAATACAGGTTTGGGTTTCAGCAAAGAAGGAAACCATAACAGACAAATCATGTTATTGGGATCGAAGTGAAGACCTGCAACTGGTGCTTTTCAACCTTCTATAGCACCTTCCAGCCATATATATGGCTTTAGTCTCACACTCCAAAGACTTTAAGACGCCGAAACCAAGCTCAAGGTAACCAGAGTTTACACTTTGACTTCGTTATTCCTTCCCATTTTGGTTTTAAGATTGACCATGTAACTTAACCTTTTTTTGCCCTTTCTCAAACATTTTACAGAGATTAGAGATGACTAATGTTTTATCTAATTTCATCCATAATCTGTTGTAGTTAGTATTACAGTAAAAAAACTGAAAGGTCAAATCTTGCTCGATACATTAATCTGGTGGCCATCACTGTTTGCAAGTTTTGTTGCCTTTATGGTTGCTGTTGTAAGCTCCATTGTATGAGCCTTCCTAGAAATCTATTTAGGTTTGTAGATCGATGCATGAATGTTGGAGAATTCAGTTGGACATTAATTGTGTGGTAATCTATAGCACTATCAGTGTGATTTTAGCGAGATTCGTTGGTTTTGATGTGTCAGTTGGGTTCTTAGGAGTGTCGATATGCTTCATTACAACATGTTCTACATCCTAAATGAACAACTTTAGCTACCACATATCTAATGCTCATATTATGCTGTTAGAACAAGGATTGAACTCACTAATCCGATCATGCCTGCAATTCGGTAATAATACAAGATGAACAATAGCTTTACCAACCACATATCTATTACTCATATTATGCTTTTAGAATAAGGATTGAGCTCACTAATCCAATCATGCCTATAACTCAGGAATAATACAAGTACATATGTTTTGCCATCATGTCTTGGTTAAGGAAAACTTCAGCAGGTTGGTGTCATTCACTGACGTTATAGATTTATGCAAAGAGGTAAGGGCTATAGCCTACATATATTTTTGCCTCGGGACCTCTCAGTTTGACTAATTAATTTCCTTTTACTTCATGTCATGTTCCAGCAGTCTTCTTACAACCTCTGTATGTGTGGTTGCTTTAATCCTTGCTGGAATCCTACCACCACATAAAGAAGGTTGAGCTCTTGGAGTTTCAAGGGAAGGTGGATTAGGAAAAGACAGTAGAATTATGAAGTCTCTTCAAATCAGTAGGAAAGGTTAGGTCAGCCGCTATAGTGCTTCATAATCTTGATTTGTCTTGCTTTCATTTAAACCGGTCATGTATCAATACTGAACATAGTCAAAATTTAAGAGCCTGACTTTCATTTGTATGCCAGTTAGCACATTCATTGTTCCATTGGGTTAATTGGATACTCTTTTATGTCTGTAGCAGTCACTTTTTTTATTTTGCTTCGAGTTTTTATAGTTCAGTAATTCTCAATATAGCCATTTACCAAACACTTTTTGTGCCATCAAACAATTCGTTTTAAATCATTCAAACAGTCCCGATATCAACACTTTGAAAAACAACCCGGCGCGAAGCGCGGGCTTCCTACCTAGTATAGAGTTGATTTGTAAAGATTCCAAAACTTTGATCATAAGCTTATGAAGTAAGTTCATACTATGAACACATCTTGAAGTTTTCACCGCCGCCGTTTAGTAGCTTTTTACAAGCCGGAAAACAAAGCAGTGCACTTTGTCCTTACACCGGTGACCTAGCCAGCTTTATCTGTTCCGCTGACACGTTACCACTGCCACCAAGCCCCTACTTCCAGATCGTCCAAAACCCACCGAGATCACAACCCAAATAGAATCCTCACCCGCCCTGCACAATTTCTGCTTCTCCGCCTAAAACAGAGTGCTGAAGCAAGGCAATACAAGAAGAAGAAAAAAACAGAGGAAGCAATGGTGAAAGATTCTTGTATTTGTAACTGTTTGTTGAGTGTTCGTCTTTGTTTCGATTCCAATCGGGGTAAGTTCTAAAATTTGTCTGGTTTTTTTTTTATTCTGGGGCAGACGAAAGGAACAGCGAGCTTCGGGAAGAGGAGGAACAAGACGCATACTCTCTGCATCAGATGCGGCCGCCGCAGCTTCCACCTCCAGAAGAGCCGCTGTGCTTCTTGCGGCTTCCCCGCCGCTCGCCTGAGAAAATGTTTATCTTCCTTTCTTTGCCTCTCATGGGGAAATCGATTCTCTATGTTTCTCTGCATCTCTCAAACTTTGTTTTCGATCAATTTTCTGTCAGATAACTGGAGCGAGAAGGCCAAACGGAGGAGGACGACTGGTACCGGAAGGATGAGGTACCTCCAGTCAGTTTGCGTCAGGTTCAAGTATAGCTTCAGAGAAGGCAAAATTCCCAAACTTGAATTTCTGCTAGATTTACTTAGAACACACTCTGTAATTCTGAAAAATAACTTCCTCTGTATTTACACTCATCCCCTGTTTTTTCAGGGACGATGGCAGCGCCAAGGAAGAAAAACAGAGCCTCTGCTTAATTGTGGAAAGACGCCAACTTTGCAAGACTTAATATAGTTTCTCTAGTTCTCTGCTCTGTTTTCCCAAGTGTTCATATCTTCCAGCATGTAATGCTACATATCAATCATAAAACGCCTTTCAAAATTTTTATCAACAGGGATCCTGAAATAAGTGCATTACAGTTGTGAATTGTGATCGATCATAAACAAGAATCGACGAGAGGAAGTAAATGAAGAAGGCGAGGTGCTGGATTATTCTCACACAAGGCATCGACTAACATAATCTGCAATTCTGGAGTTCTGGATACGAAATCGACCGAATACTCTCTTCCAGAACAGGAGATCCTTAGAAAGGATCGGTGAGAACCAGGTGCAGAGCAATGCCAGATTCAGGCAACGGTGCAATGTCCACCCTGAAGCTTTCTCTACTGACCAGGCGGTCATCCACCGGTGTTGTCCCGAAGGCACCAAATCGAATTCCTCCTTCAGCCGCCTTCCCAGATCCCGCATGTGAGCGGCTCCATAGAAAATGGCGATCTTGCTGTTGTGATGACCCTTTTCATCCATTGCTCTCTTCAGTGCTTCAATGGCTACTCTGTTCCTTTCTCCGATCACCACCGACGTCTCTTCCTCATCAGCCGTCTTCTGAACGAACCTTCAGGGGAAAAGAAGAAAAAGCATGGTTATTCGCCTTATTGGGAGTCGATTGGATCGAATTCTTGAGCCATATCAGGGGGAAATTATGAATTTTGAATAGCTAACTTACTCAGATGTGAGTAGGTTGGCAAAAGAGACCTTCATGGCAGCATCGGAATCGAGCCGAGAGAGTGCACCTGCTAGTTCAGAGAAGTACGGAGCTGGACTCCTCCCAGTGCAGAGACGAATTGCAGCAATCGCGACAGATGTCGGAAGCAGAAGAAACGCCGTCCAGATCAGCAGCTTACCTTTCGACTTGGGGATCGCATATGTCCAGACGCTCTCACCGCTTTCATACTGCGAGTGAAATCAGTATGTCAAGACTGTTTCTTCTGCTCGGGAAATCGGAAGATCGACAAAGCAAGAAAATACAGAAACTGAATAAGATAAAATACAAAAACTGAATAAGATATTTGGATTTACGTGGTTTACTAGTATGATATGTGTTAGCTAGTTAATAGACTGAAGAGAACCAGTTTTACTATACTTTACAATCTCGTCGTCGAATAGTTCGATTCAAGTCATATCAACAAGTAGATAAGCTTAAAGAAAATGCGGAGATAGATAGCATAGCACGCATTGTGAAAACAAAAATTCAACAGCAGGAATGGCGGGAAGAAGGAACAGCACGTTCTAAAAAAATAAAAAATAAAAAGAGATGGAAAACCTGAAGCCGTGTGAATGTCTCGTTATCGAGATCAGCATGATACCAGTTCTCCGCCTCGTAATTGAGACACTTTACTTGGTCATCAAGGGAGAGAACTGGAGCCATTAGGCGGCGACCGAAATCTATAAGTATACGGTCGAACCAGCTGTGCATTGTTCTCAAAATCAGCCGCAGCCTTGTGGCAGTTTCTGGGTTTTCTTTCTTCCCTTTTGTCACCATTTCATAGAGGACACAGTCATAAGACTCAAGCTCCTTCTGGAGGGTCGAGTAATACCTGCGCGAGATTGTAATCAGCTTGAATTATGCACCTCAGACCAAAAGGGATTCATAGTAAACCCAAGAAAGCAAGATTTTGGATATGTGGAAAAAAGAGCAGAATCAAACTAGTAACTCACTCTTTGTCAGCAATGTGGATGGCGGAAACCAAATCAACCTGGTCAGACAAATAAAACATGAAATCCGAGCCAAACGAAAACAGCCCACGCCACCGAAAAAACGAACTGGATGAGTCCAAGAGGAGCAAACCTGAAGAGAAGAGCTGATGGTAGAGTCAGGGGACTGCTTCCGGTAACTGACAATGGCCGTCTGCAACTCGCCGGTGCCTCTAACAGGACCTTTCTTGAACCTTAAGAAATCTGCAAGCGAATCCATTGGCCCATAGTCGTTGGAGTTGGAGTTGGAGTTGGAGTTGGCAGGGGAAGAAGCCGCCATCGTTGAAGCTTTTCGGGAGCCGGTAAGGGGATTGGGGCAGAGAGATTTGTTGGAAGGTAAGAATTCTCAATATAAACTGTTAGTAAACCCTTTACTCGTATTAGAATAAGGACTGACTGATTCCACTATTCTCAAAGAAAATTGACGCCTGATCGGATGATAAAGGAGAGCTAATTTTAAAATAGATAGTGAACTTTATTACTTGAATGAAAATAGAAGAGGAAAGGTACATATTTATAGGACTAATCCTACAAACTCTTTCCCCTTGAGACAAGGTAAATAAATCCTAAACCAATAAGCAAATGATTACTTCCTAAACAAGACACAATAATAATAATCCTAAACACAAATTAATAAGAAGAACCAAATAAGACCTTTTTTACTCGGGTTTTGAATGGAATCAAGTACTTTGAACTAATTTGCAGCTCTGTTTTCCCATGTTTTCATATCTTCCAGCTTGTAACTCTGGAGATACAGTTAATAAAGGGCTTTCTAATTAGCAGTTCAAATATTTGAACACACAATTGGCCGAAAACCTGGAAAGGATCTCTCTTCCCAGTCAGCCGTCGAAAGAGCGTAGCTTCGCAAAGAAAACATCATTATTATATCTCCGTCTTTAGTGACCCTCTGTTTTTCTGCATTTTGCTTCGATCAAAAGGTGGTCGGAAGACCTCTGCTCTGTAGCCGTCAGGTTAAAGTCCAGCTTCAGAAAAGGAAATTCATTTACCTTCATAGTCTGTTTCAGGGATGATGGTAGAACCAGCAAGAAAGAAGAACATAGCCGCAGCATCATCGGCTGTCCTAAGTCAGTACTCCTGGAAACCTGCGAATCTGGTTCTGTATACATTTCATATTTTCCAGCTGCTGTAACTCTGTATATCAATCAATAGTGCAGTTCAAATGTTCGAACAAAAATATTTCACAGTGTATCAACATTGAACAGGATTTGAGATATATACACACTGTAACTTGTGTATCTACTTGGATGAATTGATATCAACAATCACTTTTTAAGGAAGAAAATCAGGTGTGGATTTCTCTCAAACCAGGTATTGGCCAACATATTCATTGACTGACTCGGCAATTTGTGACACGAAATCCACTGAAGTGCCAAAGAAGATCTCCCAGAACCAGAGATCTACGGCTAGGACTGACGAGAAAATGAGCAATGCCAGAGTTTGGTACCGGTTCAATGGCCACCCTGAAACTTCAGCCATCGTTTCCAGGAACGGAAGGGAATTGGTCTTTACATCGCGATTCTCTATCGACCATGCAGTTATCCACTGGACTTTGGAGGGAACCAAATCGAATTCTTCCCTCATCCGCCTTCCCAAATCCGGCATGTGACCTCCGCCATAGAGTATGGCGATCTTGTTTTGGCCTCCATCCATTGCTTTCTTCAGTGCTTCCATGGCTACCCTATTCCTTTCTCCAATGATCACCGACTTCTCTTCCACGTCAGTAGTAACCTGAGTGAACCTTCACAAAACAAAACAAAATGTTAACTTTTTGGAATTTGACTCAAATCAAATTCTTGAACTATTGGGGGAATTTCAAACAGTAACTTACTCGGTTGTGAGTCGCTTGGCAAGAAAGACCTTCATGGCAGCACCAAAATCGAGCCGGGAAAGGGCTTCTACTTCAGCGTAGTCTGAAGCTGGGCTTCCCACATTGCAGAGAGTTCCGATAAGGCAAAGGCCAACAAGGGGCATAGGAAGAACCCGAGATGCCCAGAGAAGCTTGGATCGCAAAGGGCCGAGGTTATCTGGTATGGTGGGCTGAAGCATGGCTTTCGTCGACTTAAGGGTCATGTCTCTCGCAAATGTGAACAAGCTTTCGCCCTTTTCAAGCTGCAGTAAACAACCCAAAGTGAATACACTCATTTAGCATATGAAAATCAACAAGCATGAACAGATAAGATGAACCAACCTGAAGTAGTTTGAATGTCTCGAAATCGAGATCAGCATGATACCAATTCTCTGCTTCATAATCAAGACAGTCCAGCTGGAAATCAAGGGTGAGAATTCGAGCCATTTGACGCTGAATGAACCCTAAGATGTTAAACCCTCTTGACCGAGGACCTTTCAGCCTCCTTATAGCAGAAGGGTTTCTTCTGTTCTCTAAACTTTCTTTACTGGCCACCATTTCATACAGGACACAGTCATAAGACCCGAGCTCCTTCTGAAGGGCCGAGAAGTACCTGTGAGACAATCCAAATTATCACTACGCTCAAGAAGCTATATCCGCCAAACCCAAATTGCTACCAACACTCAGACTACCGGATTCATTCAATTCATAGTAAACCCAACAAGCAAAATTCGGATCGATGGGTTAAAGAGCATAATGAACTTACTCTTTGTCAGCAATGTGAACGGTGGAAACCAAATCAACCTGCAAATTATCCCAGAAAGTAAGCTTGATGGGTTAGGCGAGTAAATGACCAAAACGATCACCAAATGACGACGAGCTTTTAGCTTTCACCTGAAGAAAAGGCCTGAGAATAGACCAAGGGAACCGCTTCCGGTACCGGACAACCGCCGTCTGCAACTCGCCGCTGCCTCTATCGTACCCTCTCTTAAACCTCATGAAATCTGCAATCGAATTGCTCTGCAGGAACATCTCCGGGGACCCATCTTCGTAGGGCGAGGACGGAGAGCTAGCGGAGGAGTAAAAGGCCGAGATGGTTGAAGCTCGGGAGCTGCGGAAGGAACGGGAATTTAGTGGTCTGGAGAAGATAAGAGTGGGTTTACAGCTAGGGCTGGGTTTCAATTTCAAAGGGCAGGAGGTGGAAGTGGGATCGGCGGCAGTTCTGGCTGAAGCAGCGGGTGATATAAACGAGAAAGAAGCTGAGACCGCCATCAATTGGGCGTCTCCGTGCTCACCCGCCGGCGGGAACAGAGAAGGGGACTTAACAGTTTTGAACTGAGAACCAGACCCTTTTATCCAGAGAACAGCTCCGGGCTATTCCATTCAATTGGAAATGATCAAATGAATGGTAACTATTTTCTGGACCAATATAAATGGAATAATGCAAATTTTAATGAATAAATCGAAAAAAATTCAAGATTTTTATTTATCATCACATGTTTGTAAGAAAAATTCAATCTTTATTCCACATATTGATCCACTTTTAGTCGGTCCAGTTGCCATTCCAAGAACTGTTCTTCGCTTGCACGCAAATGCTAATGGCCCAGAAAACAATCAGGCTCAAGGGAAAGACTAAAATGGTTTACTGATAAATCTCCACCATCTCCACCCGTTATGCCATTTTCGAAAAAGATTGCACCTTGGCAACATTTCCTCATCATAAGAAAAGCTTCAACTGAGGAACACAAACTTGGTAAACGATTTCACTCTGTAACAACAATGCAGATCACACATAACATCCCTGGAAAAATGACTGATGGATTCGAGAATGGGATGGCCAAAATGAATGATAAGCCTAATATAGTGAATCCTGGCAAATAATACAAGATTTTGTTGCTGTTGTTATATCTACACATAAGCCCTGCTTATCCCCAATGAATCAATAGCAGCTATCCAAGAATTGAAAGTAGAGAGATACTATCACCAAATGATCATCGATCAAGTCAAAACTGAGACAAGAGTCGCAACCCGGCTTCCAGATCCTCCAACGCAATCGTCCTTAGTGTCTCGGCGTCGATGCAGTCGAAATCGAGTCTGAGATCCAGATTCTCCCTAGCATTCACCAGCATCGTGTCTACTAACCCTCCGTTCATCTCCCTCCGCTGCTTCTCCGTGGTTTCTCTCTCTATCAATCTCGATACAGCATCGGTGCTGCACGAGGGATGTAACTGGAAGCCGTACAGCATGTCAGCTTGCTCTTCTTGATTAGTCATCTTGATGTGGACGATCTCGGCCAAATCTTGAGAAGTGAAGTCGTTGAACATGAAAAACTTGGTCACCCTTCTGCAGAAGCCTTCGTTGGAAGCAATTACACGCTTCATGGGTTCGCTGTATCCTGCAAATATGACCACGATTTTGCCACTGTCCATAACCGACATTATCTCTTCCAAGGCTTCTAACCCGTAGTCTTTATCGTCTGCTTTCTGCATTGGGATGAGTCGGTATGCCTCGTCCACAAACAGAATTCCTCCCTCGGCTTCTTTGATCTGCATAATGAACAACATGTTGGATCATCTATAGCATCTTTTATATAAGAGCACCCAGAGAAAACTGTTATTGAAGTATACCTTCTTCCTGGTTTTTGGACCGGTATGGCCGACAAATTCACCAACCAAATCAGTACGTTGTACTTCTGTCACTCTATCTGTAGGTAGGATACCAACTAGATGCAGCAATCTTCCAAGAATTCGAGCCACCATGGTCTTACCTGTAGCCAGATGAGAGGGGGAAAATTACAAGCAACACCATCAGAAACTAAGAGAGAAACTTGCTAACATTGAAAGACACAGACTGCAGTGTCAGACACTACATTGCTCTAGAAATGTCAGGCGACCAAATTACCTGTTCCGGGATTTCCAAGAAAGGCCATGTGAGGAGGCCTTCGAACGCCCAATTTCAGGCCGAGGGCCCTGCGCCTCTCATCCAAAAGCATTCCCTTAGCCCATTTTCTTAGCTGAACCTTGAGTTCATGCAACCCTACTATGCTCGACAATGCTTTCTCAAGTTCTTCCATTTTAGCTTTTGATTCGCTACATGCTTCCACTGCTCGCCTCCTTCTCTGCTCCTCAAGGTGCCGGTTTAATAGGGCACGCAACTTTTCACTGCCAGGACCTTGCGAGATATGGTTCACCGGAGTCATGCCCTCCTGAAAATTAACATGAATCAAGCAATCAAAACCACGTAAGCCCAAAATTAAAGTCAGCAACAGAATAGTTACTGATGATAGATTACATCGTCCTTTGCACTACAATCAGCATTATGCTCCAGCAATGTCTTGACTGTCGAACAATCATCTGATCTTATAGAGTCCCACACAGCTAGGTGTAGTGGGGTCATACCATTCTGATAAGACACCCAAAAGGAAAGAGTACAAGTTAGTTGCTTTCCACACTGGGCAGGGAACCATGATTTTCCCAACTAAATCAGACCAGTGAAGAATCTACTTACATTAGCTTTGGCTTCAATGATAGCCCCATGAGAAAGGAGTAGCTGTGCAGCCTCGTTGCACCCATTCTTTGCTGCCATGTGCAATGGAGTCTCTCCATACTGGCAAGGTTGAGATTACAGTGCAAAAGTCAACAAGGAGCAGGAGAATCAATATGGATCAATGATTTCTATAACAACCTCCAGGGAACGTAACAACAACTAAAATTGAGCTCAACCTCCAGGGAACATAACAACAACTAAATTGAGCTCACCATGTTCTTGGCTTCCAATTCAACTTTCTCGGCACCTTTCAAACTAAGCAGAAATTTGACGATCTCCACTTTGTTATTACCAGCAGAAACATGAAGAGGAGTCTGTGACATCTGCAATAACATGGAATTTTGAAAATTATAAGAGAAATCCTGCATGGAAAGATAAGCAAATCCTGTTCTGAACTCTCTGGTTAAGCATTCGGAGATTAGTTACAAATCTAGCCAAAGAAGATCTTAAGTGGTACAGGGCTATTCGTCGAGGTCAATGCCTCCATGGCCATCCAAATCTCTCCTACCTCCGGAATCTAAATCTTAGCAAGAAAGCAAAAGCATCCCTAGTTTCATACAATCTCCATAAGAGCTTCAATGAACTAACACAAGGAACATTTAAACCCAAAACGGAGCCCGTCCAAGAACCCTCGATAGATTCCTATGCCCAATACGAAAATGAACAAAAATCGAAGCTAATCTTGCAAAGAACGCTGCTTTATCAAATTATGAATCCTCCCCAGAAACCCCAATTGGGAAGGATGGATGAAAGTTCGATTCTTTAAGCAGAGAAATGAAAGAAAAATGAGGGGGATATGGAATGAGGATTGGGAATGATCTCACCACAGGGTTCCTTTCATTGAGAAGAGAAGGATTGTCACGGAGCAGCTTCTGGACAGCGGGAAGATCGCCGGACTGGGCACAGGCATGAATGGTGGCGGGCTTGGAAGATCTCGACCGTTGATCCTGGAAAGGCTTCTGCATTTTTGTAATTCTGCTTTCAACGGTGGCCGCTGCGTGCGGCGGTGTAATATGTTAAGGTTTTTGGACGGTGGCGGCTTCTTCTCTCCCGCCGGTGAGAGAGAAGGAAATGAAGGAAGGAAGAAGGGTGGAAGGGTGGAAAGGCGGATTCTGATGTGGAAGGGAAAAAAAGGAAAGAAGAGACGAAGAAAGAGAGAGAAAATCAGAAAATGGCTGCTCTTTAATTTCTACCGCGAGTCCTATGGGCTATGGCCTTGTTTTGGCGGCCAGCATTTTATTTTTAATCTTTACTTTCATTTTTCTAATTATTTTGACTTTTAACTTAGACATCCAATTAGGAAAAATTATTTTTATGTTTTGGTGACTATTAGAGAACAAATCATCTCGAGTAGATACAAAAGAAAATGGTTTGCTAAATCAGTAAATCTCCATAGTTTGAATTATGGATTAAAAATTTTATTGGCTCTTTTAATTATTTATTTTGACTCGATGTACTAAAGGGAAACAAATTAGTATATTCATGTGAATTTCATAATAATACATTAATCTGTGGAATGGAGAGATTCATAGACGAAAAACAAATAATCAAGTTGGATACAAAAGCTCATATAAAATGTAAATGGAATGCTTAAAAGTTATGAATATATATATATATAGATGGTTCTATCGTTTTCACTTAATACTACATTTGTTGTACATATATAAGTGAGCTAAATTACACGTTTGGTCACTCAAATTACATAAATCTTTCACTTCTACCACCCGAATTACTTTTTTTCTTATTCGCCACTAACTTTATGAATCATTTCACCGTTAGTCTCTGACCGTTAGTTTCCGTTAGATTCCGTCAACTCCGTTAGTTTTTATATTATGTGGCAAACAGAACTGTTGACTGGACCGTTAACTTAATGACATGTCAATTTTTAAAATAAAAAAAGGCAAAATCAAGCAGAGGATAGGGATGGCAATGGGTCGGGTTGGGTCGGGTTTTGCCAAACCTAAATCCAAACCCATGGGTTTATTCGTGAAAAAAATCCGGGGTAAAACCTATTGGGTTTGAAAAACTCAAACCCAACCCAACCCGCTGGGTATCCGCGGGTTCATGGGTACCCACGGGTTTTTGTCGTAAAAATTTATAATAACAAGTTCCTATCAAAATTAAAGTCAAATATCAATCTCTCAATACAAATTATCCATATATAAAACACCATTCTAGAAAATTCAAGCAACTCACAAATAACTATACAAATTGTTCAATACCAATTTAGAAAACTCAAGAAAATTGAAGCAAATCACAAATTATCCATAAATAACATGATTAATTGAAAGCTTCTTCTTTTCAATTAAGTTTTTTCACTCTCTACTCGATAACATCAACTTAATTCTATACAATTAGAAAGAAAAAATTAGACATGTATCCACAAACATAAATAAGATTAGTTGCTTAGAATATCAAATATACCGAGAAAATTAATTATATAGGTGTGGGCCGGTACCCACAGGTCGGGTTTACCTAAACCCAAACCCAACCCAATGAATAGTGAACGGGTTTAAACCCAAACCCGGCCCAAAACCCGTCAACACGGATTTTACCCGCGTTGACCGGGTTGGGTCGGGTGGGTACCCGTGAGTTCGGGTTTTGTTGCCATCCCTAGCAGAGGAGTGGCTCACCTTCCCCTTCCCTCATCTTCTTCACCTTCCCCTCTGAACCCCTCATCCCAAGCCCGCCCACGGCCCGCCGCAGCCAACGCTTACTCCCCCGTTAATCCTCTGTCGATTCGCCGTCGAATCCAAAGTCGGAACAGATCACGATGTCGAATGCAACGACGAGGAAGTCACGATGAAGCAGCTGAAGGCGGGGAGTAGGGGATCTTCTCTGGTGGGGAAGTTATTTGCGGCAATGACGGACAAAATATTGATTTCCTTTTCTAATTCAATCTTGACCCCAATCTCTCTTCCATCACTTTCTCTTTCAATTCCATTCCTTGCAATGATGTTAGCTGCGACGACGGTTCAAGAAGAGGAGGAAAGTTTAAATCCAATGAAAGACCATACAGATCTCGATTCCCCACATGGAAATAAACGTTCTTGATGCTAATGTCTTCAAAACTGACAGAAAAACAAAGAACCATTTTGCTCCAATTTTTCTCTTTCCCATTTTTTCCAATCTTATCGATCCCCGCGTAGAGGTATCACCCCGCATCCGGCGGCGGTGGCCAGGCTAGGATGATGGTTCAGCAGAGCAGGGAGTCAGGTCCTAATCGAGCTGTGAGAAGCATTGAGACTCGACCCCAACAGGAGAGACACTTCACACTTGTGACAACTCTACAAGAGCGACACCATTTTTTTAGTTTGATAATTTTTATTTTTATATTTTTTTTAAATTGACATGTCATTAATTTAACGGTCCAGTCAGGAGTTCCGTTTGCCACATCATCAAAAAACTGACGGAGTTAACGAAGTCTAACAGAGACTAACGGTCGGTGACTAACGGTGAAATGATTCGTAAAGTTAGTGGCGAATAAGAAAAAAAAGTAATTCGGGTGACAAACGTGAAAGATTTATGTAATGTGAGTGACCAAACATGTAATTTAGCCTATTTAAGTGATTAGGATCCAGGTAAATTGTGATGAAAATGCTAATAATGTTCAAATTTTTACTGGCGGTTAGTCTACTATTGTCATTTGGAATTTTTTTTTGAAATATTGAAATGAGAAGAAACATAACTATATCTTAAAATAAAAATGAAATAGGGCAATCCACCTCGAATCTGTTATATTGTCTTCCCCTAAATCTTTTGAACTTTACTGTATATCTTAGTTTCAGAAGATTTTACTTCAATCACTAGGGTGTTTGGATGGATCAATTTATAGATCATACAATTTATCAATTGTTTCATTTTATAAATGAGATAATTAAAATGAGTCAATTTGAATTACTTGCCCATCTCAGACAATTGAAATTGACTCAAAATGGATCAATTCAAAATACCCCAAGCAAATTGATACATCCAATTTTTTTTGTTGACATACGAATCAAATTTGTGCAATTGTCTCAAAACGAGATAATTTCGTCAAATTGATCCATTACAATTTCTCATTCAAAGAAGGGTTAATACTTAATACCTTAGTTTGGCCCGAACTATAGACAAACTTTCTACTTTGGCCCTTGGTATCGGAAATTGCTATTCTGGCCTAAACTATGTAGCATACTTCCTTATTTGGCCCAAGGGCGCGCGGGTTTGACCGTCAAATTAGACGGTCAACCGAGTTGACCATTAGTCAAGGTCCAACTCACTTGCGACGTCAGCTATCAAGGAATAAAAAATTATTTTTTTAATTTCTGTATTTTGTTTACTTTCTAATAATAAAAATAATAAACAAAAAATTTTGAATGCTACATAGCGGTGGAAATCCCGGCGGAGTTCGTGGGCGACGGGCTGCGGGTTCAGAGTTCGTGACCGTTAGTCAAGGTTTCACCGCCGCCGTCCACGAGTTCTGCGACCAGCTCGATGCCTCTCCTCGTCACAAGTTTCGATAATTTTGAATAGGAATTGAAACCCTAATGGGGGGTGGGGGGATTGAATTGAATCCATAATTTTGATTTACAGGGAGACGATTCTGAAGTATGCGGAGGCGACCCATGGAGTGGCGATGAAAGTGGCGGCGAAGAGCTTGGGAGTATTTGGGAGTGATGGAGTTGGATTTTTCGAAGGATGATCGTGCCAGTTTCGGATCAACAAGTACCATTTCGAGTCGGAGACGGTAGGGTCGACCGGAGTCCAGATCCACACCGATTCCGGGTTCCTCACCGTGCTTTAAGAGGATGAAACCGTCGGCGGGCTCGAGGGCATGGATCCCTCCGACGCCGGCTAAATCCCTGACGAACCAGTCCTGGGAACTTTTCCCGTGAATCTCGGCACGGTACGGACGCAATTCTTTCTCGATGGAAAACAATTCCAATCAGGGTTTTGTTTAATTTTGTTCTTCGGGTTCAGGTGTGGAGCAATGGGAAGCTGCGGCAGGGGGTTGAACGACGAGATGGCGCAGCTTGAGGCGGCTCTCTGGTCGACGATGGCGGTGGCGGCGGGGAATAATTTGCTCCACAAGGCGGCGGCATGGCAGCCGGCGTAGGAGCAGCATGGGTTCAAAGCAGGCAATTTCGGAGCAGGGGTTTGTTTATTATTTTTATTATTAGAAAGTAAACAAAATATAGATATTAAAAAAATAATTTTTTATTCCCTGATAGTTGACGTGGCGAGTGAGGTGGATCTTGACAAACGGTCAACTTAGTTGACAGTCTAATTTGATGGTCAAACCAGTCTCCGTGCTAAATAAGGAAATATGCTACGTAGTTTAGGCCAGAATGACAATTTTCAATAACACGGACCAAAATAGAAAATTTGTCTAAAATTCGGGGCAAATTAAGATATTAACCCTTTAAAGAAGCCGATGTTATGTACTGCACAGTTATAAGTCAAATATCAAATAAACCCATAATATTTCATTTAATTTAATTATTCAATACCAACTGTCATCATCATGCTGTAATACGATATGATCGTCATCATCATTAAGTTGGAAAAGAAAACAAAAGGGCATCTTCTAGTCTAGCTGCTTTACTCTAATGGTGTTTAACAGCTCATTAGTCATTTTCAAAAATTAATAATAGTCTCCTCACTCCAATAATTTCTCTCCAAACAAGCTAGTCCCATGTTACAAATCATTGGATGTCTATTGTTTGACCCCTGAAAACAAAGTATAAGAATATTCAAAGTGTTATTACGATGTTAACATCAATGAGCATCGATAGAAAAAGAGGGATTAACAGGGGAAAAAAAAGCACACTAAAAATAAATCAGATTTGTGTTAATTCTACATTTTGTCCAATATTTTGTTTATTTTTAATTTTTTTTATATTCAGATTCCAATCTCCGGAATCTTGTTGAAACTAACAGCATGTTTGATACAATTCCATAAGAAATAGAAATGAATTTACATTCTCAATTCTAACTTTTATGGAATTCCATTTCTAATATTTGTGTTGGCATAATTCCAACAACTTTGTAAATGAATTGTACTCTTAAGAAGCATTAATGATTTAGTATATTTTTTTTTATTTTGAGAAATGAAATATTAATGAGAGAGAAAGAGAGGAATGAGATAGTGGAATTATAAAATAATAATTGATAGAATATGACTTGAATTTGATTTGGGTTTGTTTTGTGTTTTTTGGCT